CCCTCTTTTAGTTTAAAACCATTACCCCTTGCCCTATCACAGCAAGCCCTGCTATAAAGATTGTCTCAATTTTTCTTACAGGCCTCCAGCCCTTCTTTGAGTATGTTTCACAGCAGGAGTAGGCTAGACCCCTCTGGGAAGTCATACTGAGGCAGGCTTTTCTTAAACTAAATTTCTGAAAGTGAGCCCTTAGACCAAGGTTTACCATCTGCCAAGAGGATATTTATCAACTAACACATCGAAGCACCAGCAGGTCTAGCTTTGTTTTCAGCTGCAGTGAAGGTGATCTAGGAAAAATTGTAGAAGGATAAATATGAACAAGGTGGGAAACAGCAGGGATGTAGCCCTTCTTGCATTGCACATATGCAGGCTTTGCTGGGATAAAGAGCAGCCTGTCTGGTATAACTGGTGTACAACTGTACGGATTGAGTCTGGGGCCACTTGGCACAGGGGTGGTCATAAGCCTGAGTGTCATAAGGGCCATGAGACACAGCAGTCATCTCAATAATGTCAGCTCAGATATTCGTTCTCAAACTGTTTTTTGAGCCACTACTGATATGTCTTACTTGAGGTGTTCTGCATGTTATTTGGAACTTAGTATTGCATCCAGTTGTCTGAATGCATTTCAAAAAGTCTGTCATTATATTTGTTATGTAAATATAATCCATTCACGTAAAGGAACTATTAAGCTTGCACTATCCTGGATTATTTTTTGCAAATTGCTATTTGATTTGATGTTAATCTCTCACATACTGTAAGATGTAAAAGAGCTATATGACAGCAAAAATCTTTAGGTTAGACATCAGGAAAGCCTTAACTGTAAGGATAGTTGTTAGCTGCTTTTCTGAGTGTGGAGTTGCCATCCTGAGAGGTTTTTTAATCTCTGGTTGTTCAAGCAGCAGTCAGGAAAGACATGGTAGAGTTGATTCCGTTTGAGGGAAGAGAGATGGGCTAGATCGCCTTAAATTGTTACAGTACAGGGCACAAGTTCATGCTTTGGATTTATGCAGTACATTTCAAATTAAAGATTCAGTTGTTCACATCCACATGCAGGAGAAGAAAATACGTGACCAAACAATTGCAGAAAGAAATGAGCTCTAGGACTGTGCCTCAGACCTTGCTCAAAGGCAGCAAGCTATAGATGTTTTTAGTTTTAGCTATAGTTGTTTTAACACTTCAGCTAAAAACAACTGAACTGTCAAGGTGAGGCAACTCCAGGAGCTGCAGTTTTGTTGTGAAAAGCAGAGGCAGACCCACTGTACTCAGTGTGCCCCTGGGCAGCAGTAGCTGTCACTTGAATGAGGTGATGTTGCTTGTAGGCTCATACTGGAGACATTCTGAGAAAGGAGATTTCTGAGTGTTCCCAGGGCAATTTGGAAAAGATGAGATTTTTCTTCTTTCTCTGAAGAGAGTTATTTTGCTCAATCAGTTTTCCTGTGGCAAGGATTCAGTGTGTTATACTCTTCCCCTTGCCTGCTATCAGAATAATCTCTTCATGGCTGAGAAAGTCTCATATCTATTTTGAGCACCTAGTGCTTGGGCTCTGATTTCAGGTGGAGGCTCTGATATTAAGAGTGGTCATCAACATCAGTGGCATCCTCTGACATAAAAATTAAGTATCCATGAGAACAAGCAAATGATCAGTTACGGAGCCCCACAGAAATGAGGTGCTGGAAGAAAGGCTTTCACATGTCTCTGATGAATGGATCTAGGTGATGCTCTGTGTATCTGAACAGTTCCCTATCTGATTCAACTTTGTGTCAGTGGACAAAATCTTCCATGAGCAGGAAACCTTTAGAGAGTTAGAGGACACTGCTCATTTTCCTTGGAAAGCAGCTTGGAGTTGGGAATGCTATGACTAAACATGAAAAAGTATGAAAGTGAAAAATAAATGAACTGGCTAACTAATACAAAAGCTGTGCCCACCACTCACTACCCACTATTACTTCTTGTGACTGATCTCTTGCATGCTGCTCCTATCAAGGATTCTATCAAGAATTAGGGATTAGGCAAAGAGCAGACTACTTTAGAAACTGGTTCTTCGGAACATATTTGCATCTGATTGGGAAATAATAGCTAATTTACATTTAATGGAGATTTTACTCATATTATTCAGTTCAGGAAAGTATAGAGAGAATTTTCAGATTATTTTTTCTATTATTATTAACTTGCAGAAGGAACTGTCCTTGATGAGGGATATTTGATTTATCACTCACTTGTTTAGAGATGCATTAATTTTCTTTTCTATTCCTAGGTTTTTTTTCCTCCCAAGAGTCTGATTTTAAGAATTAAAAATTTTACAAGGACTGTCTAAAAGCTCTCTGAAGTCAGTAGAAATATTTATATTCCACTGACAGAATTTACTACATAAGTGACTAGAAGTATCTCCTTGATTAACTGACAAGTCTGCTGTTCATCACTTAAAGAAAATACACACTCCAAGCCAGTGAAGCAAAGCTGCATGATGTTCCCTAGTGAACATGTAGAACGAGCAAGCATGTACAAATCTCTCTTTCTCCAAGCTGAAAGCCTAATAAAATTATTTTGTAATTTAACACTTGACATTCCCATTCTTTTTAGTTTTCCTTACTGTGAAGCTCCACATGCTTCTCCAAATTAATTAAAGAACATTAGTCTTGGTTTGGCCGTATTTCTTTTCATTTTCAAGGTACTTGTCTCTTTTCTATCTTTTTTTTTTTTACTTACATGAAATATGCACTATGGTCTCATAAAATTTGAAGAGTTTTTTATTCCACATAGCTGCCTGTATTTTTCAGTGTGTCTTTATTACGTTTTTTCAGTATCTTAGAGTAATAATATTATATTTGACTTTTTTTTCTTGCTCTTTCTCATTCTGTTTTGTTGTTGTATTTCACCCTCGCATGCTGTCTCTCCTACATGGAATATCCCTTTGAGAAAATAAAGCTTTTGATCATATTAATATTGCATAAGTTCAAACCACTCAACTTTACGACTCTTGTTTTGTGGTGGAAAGGAAAAGGGTGAACTGGGAAAGAAGAATATTTACATAAAATAGATTTCCTTATAGGCTAGTGCTGTGATAGGAGCAGAGCAATGAAATAATAAATCCTTCTGGATTTTTTTCAAACATCACCTGCCAATGTATCGTGAGTGCTTACCGACACCTTTGCATATGCTAGTGGTTTAATGTCACTTATTTTGTCAAAAAGTATCATCTGCTGCACCCTTCTGGACATTACCAGGACAGCACATTTTCCAGAAAATGCCAAAGAAAATCGGATTACAGCATAGTTTTCATGAGCAAAGATGTGACTTCTGTTGTTTCTAATAGAAAACAGGCAAAAAAACCTCTCTGCTTTTGGTTAGTTCAAGATTTAAATGAGATCTAAAAGAAAAGACTTTGCCACATGGTTTCCTTGCAGACCTGGAATGACTTCAGACTTTGACATCTGTAGTTTACAGCATTTGCTATCTGAGGGCAGAGCAAGGAAAGCTGTCAGTGGCCGAACGAGCGAGGCTTGACTCTGCTTAGTTTGTAGCCCTGTTCATCGCGTCCTCCTGCATCTCTTGGTGACCTCATCTTCCTTTTACATCAGAATGGGAACTCTTCAGGTCTTCCATGCCCTCCTCACTCCCAGAATGTCCCCTTATCTTTCTTCTTTCGTTTCATGTCCCCATAATGTCTCTGTGAGGTACTCCTGGCTTCTATTAGGACTGTCTGTCTCCTGCACATCCATATGTACAAGGTGAATGTTCCTGGGAAACACCTATGTGTGTACTAATATATTGGCTGGAGGGCACAGACCTGCTGACCGGCCAAGCAGAAATGAATGTTTGTTTACACCGTAAGTGGTCTATACGCTCAGAAAAGTGACTCTGGGGGTAGGGGCTGGGGATGCAGATGAGAAATGAATGTGATGGTACATAGACACAATTGACCACAAAATAGTTACCAAGACGAATCATCTGTTTTCCTGCTGGCATCACTTCTGTCCATCCTGACTTAAGGCTACACACTGACTCCCTACTGAGACCCTTCTGCAGTGTCTTGGAGTGGAGCAGAAAAGGCATTTCTCCAATTACTTCCCACCAGCCCAGGGTGCATTTCCCACCTTTGCCCTGGAGCCATGTGCCTTTTGACCACTGCTTTTACCCCAGGTGACTTGTCTAGTCATCAACACTCATATGGATGCTGCTCTTGCACATGGCCTTTCCAGAATGATCATTCTCCCAGCACAGAGCGAAATATGTGGGACTCCCACCTTGCTCCTAAGTGCCAACTCCAGCTGAAGGCTATAGTGACTTGCCAGGCAAACTAGTTGAAACTCCTGGTGGCACTCTGGCTGGCACGCCTTAGCTGAGCCCCATGAGAGTGATGGAGGTGGTGTTGCTGAAATACATGGGGCACCTTGTATGTACCCTGAGGTCTGGCCAGGCCATGAACAATAAAAAGCAACCCAGAAATGGGAAATGGATGTGGGAAGGAATCTTCTTTCCCCCAGGAAGGACAATAGTGTTGAAAGAAATTCTGATAAAGAGTCAGCATTTTCAGGGTCTGGTTTGGGGCACTGGCTTATACAAAAGCATATATCACAAACAGTTCCAACGTAAGCAATGCAAGCCTGTGACTGAAAATACTGTTGGGACCTACACCCAAATATACAGGAGTGTGTAGAATTAGGTTGTGCCTGGCTTTCCATACTTTCCACCACCATGATCCCCCATCTTTACCTTAGGAAAGTGAGGCCAAGCACTGAGAACAAACACAAACTCCACAAAACAAGATAATGTCTTCACATTTCCCAGCATCCAGTACAAATGACTGAGTCTGATTTGGCAATCCATCCAACTCAAGGTTGTTTAAATGGCCACACCACAGCAGAGGGGGGCACAGCATGGGAGAATCATTAACTTAATCCTCCTGCCTTGTTTGTTTGATACAGCCTCATTCCAGTGCAAGTCAATAAAACTTTGTGCACTGACAGAGACAGCTTCCAGCACCTGCCAGCTGGGCCAAAATGCGGATTAGCAAAACTGCCTTTTTCTTTCTTTTCTTGCTCAGCTCAGGTAAGAGTCCTTTGCCTTCTGCTTTGCCCAGGTGAGATTGGAGCCAAACACTTGCAAGCTCCATTTAGTGAAGGTAGGTCCCCAAATCTCTGTGTCATGACCTACCTGGATGAGAGTTGCTGCTGGAGAAAGCAAGAGCTGTGGTTGCTCCAGTGTTGTGTTTGTTAGAGACACCAGAAGAGCAACAGCCTTGGGGTCTGTGTGGGGAGCTGGTGGCTCCCTGCAAACATGCCTCATGGGCAGAAATGGGGGCACCCTTGGAAAGCAGCCTAGCGAAGGCTTGCTACAAAACTCATAGCAGACAGTGACATTATTTTTTATCTCTCCTGGATTAGTACTGGTTAAATCTAGAAAGACACTTATGCAAAAGAAGAAATCAGTTTGCTCACATACTTTTGAATGTTCTGTTCAATTTTCATGTCATGTCTGGGTTTATAAAGACTTGATCTTTAGTCAGTATAATACACTCCCTGATGCACTGTAAAATCTATTGTATTCTTTTTTTAAAGTTTACACTTTGCAATGCTTTTCAGAGAACTAACATGACATTTTCTTTTCTGTTATCTAAGCCTCTGTCCATCTTTGTTGCCTTTTAGCTTATCCATGTCATCCAAAATCTCACATGTTTATTCATAAGCCAGCTGAAATAAATCTTTTTTTAATGGATACTGAAAGGTAATGATATCCAAAGTACAGCTCTTTGGACAAACATATAGTTTTTAAGATGAGTCAATAAAGTTTGGAAAGTAGTAGTTTCCTATTCTGGTCCTCTGCAATTCTGAAACAGTGGCCTCCATTAGCTTCAGAAAAAAATGACAGGAGAGGAAAAGCTTACTGAGTCTATCAGGAGAAATTTGTAGGCTCTTGGTGCTCCACATAGTCCTACTCCTAGCCTCAGTGTCAGGGCTTTCTTAAGATGTGGTTTTAGAGCATTGAGCCAACTCTGCAAAGAGTCACAGAAGATTGTCCTTAGGCAATTAATCATCTTACTTTCATTAGTCTTCCAAACACCTTGTAATTTATATGAATATGTGTCATATGGAAGTAGGTGATGGATGACCTATATGTCATAGAAATTAATTACACTGAAGTGATGTTGCAGTGAATTGACCCTAATTTGAGTGTTTGCATAAATGAAAGATGCATGTTACCTGTGAGAATGCTGTACAAGATGATGAATTTCCTGTGCCTATCAATAATAATCTAGCTTAAAATATGAAATATTTAATCATCACCTTTGTAATCTTGTAACCTGATGCTGTGTGTGGAATTAAACTTTTGTCGAGATTAGGAACAGAAACACAGAATCATTATACATGTAGAAGGAAAAAAAAACACAATTAGATGGCAAGCTTCATTGTGAGCAATAACATTTTAGAGCTAAGTGTTAAGTGTATTAGGGAGTACATCCTATATATCTTATGCACATGTAACTTTCAGATATAATAATAGTAATTGATTTACTAATTTAAAATCTTGGGTTAATTTATTGCAACAGAAATGCAGCTTGACAGTTTCATTAGTAAGTCTGCTCAACCTGTTACAACAGAATAATCGTGGGCATTGTAAAAACCTATATAGTAATGTTATGATTGTGGTTTCTTGCTCCAGCACAAGTCAGCTGAGGACAAACAACTATTCAATGACCAGTAAAACTGGCCACATGGGAGGTCACAATCTCACATCCTCTCAATTCATGCTTCTCCAGACTTCAGGCTTGCCTTCATCTTTCTCTGAGTGGTGTTCGTTTGACACCACTTAGTCTCTCTCTCTGGTCCCTCTCACTCCTGTTTCATACTTCATGTTCTCAGCTTCAAACCATACATAACTCCATTCAGATCTGCTTCTCTGCATCTCTGTTCTGCTGTTTTTTTCTATGATGTGTTACAGTCATAGAGCTGTGATGGTGTCAGGAGACAGAAATTGCCTCAGAGTTTATAATTTTTCACCCAGAATTACACAAAATAAGCCTTTATCTGTCAAAGCTACACGGAAAATGGGAGTCAAAGTCAGAAATCTTCTTAACTGCAGCATTCCCATTTTTTAATGTCCGATTCCTTTCCTTCCCTTGTAGTGAAAGGAGGCATACTCGATGACTATTTGAGAACAGATGGTGTTTGGATACTTACTCGAAATAAACAGCATTACAAGGCAAATAATGAAGAAGAATGTGCAGGGAGATGTGAAGCAGAAAGAAATTTTAATTGCAGGTATTTTCTGTTGAATCTTAAAACTATGTCATTGCGAGTGTCTGTATATTAATGATACTTTCCTACTGTTGCTCAGAACCAACAGCCACATGCTGCTGCAGCTCTGCCTGCGGAGTTGTTGCCTATGCCTGTGCCTTTACCTTGTGGCTTATCTCCACTCATAAATTACCACAAGGCCAAGGAAAGGGTGGATTTACGATGTTTTGCTCATTCTATAGTACATGCTGAAGTTCCTGCTTTTATCCAGTCTTATGCTGAGGGCTGCTTATGCCTCTTTAGCTGGATGCTCCCTTGTTTCACAAAAGAAAGGTGAGATGTTTCTAATTCATTGACTAACCTGAGCAGCTAGGATGCTCTTGATAATGTTTTGCCAATGCAGTAACTAGCTTCTCATGCAGTAACTTGTTCATGTAGTCATGCATCCTAAAAAAGTCAGCGACTTCAGAGCAGTAGAAACCGGTGTAAATGAATACAAGACAGTTCTAGTAAATTCATGATTTATAGAAAAATAATTGAGTTTAGTAATTTTAATTGAGTTAAAAGTACTGCTTCCTATGTAAATCCTGCTTCTCAATTTCAACAGGGCCTTCCTATTCACCAGGAAAAAGCTGCAATGTTTAACACTGGCTGAAAATACCAAAATGACAGTGGTGTTCAACAGTTCGGATGCAGTTCTTTATGAGAAGCAAAGTATGTATATAATAAGATACTACCCACGTTAAGCCTCTTTTAACTGCATCCTTGCATTCTCTGCTGCAGGTGGAGACAGTTTCAGTGAGGTGGACCAGCACCGATTTTGAACTGGGCTGAAACTGCCAGAGAATTTCATATCAAGGCTCCTTATATTTGAGCTTCTGTTTCACGCCTTTAGTCATATATTATTGGGAACAGGCAGAACAAACATACTCCAAAGCAAAAATCATGCATTTCTCTGCCCTTTAGGCATTTGCAGTCTTCTGCTTCATGGAGCTAGTGGAGTCCTTGCTGATACAAATTTTCAAGATTACAGCATTAGCTACTTCTATATACCCCTTCTCTAATATTCTGTGTAATAATTCTGTCAAGAATTATTTGACTGAAATATTTTATTGATTTATAATTGTGGGGAGTCTGTGGGTTTTTTGGGGTTTTGTAATTTTTTTTAAAGTTATAATCAAATATTCGTGTTTTCTGAGCTGCTCTGTTTATGCTTAATTCTTCTTGTATGCCAGGCTCAGGTAAGTGGCTTAGTTTTAAGACTATTTTTTGAATTAATTAATTAATTAATTCCTAAATTTTTAATAGATGCTATATAGCTGTGGAAATAAATAATTTTTTAGCTAGACTCTCTTCACTGGTTTTGTGGGAAGATAGATAACGCAGTCACAAACATTAACTTCAATGAGTCTTCCAGGAAAAGAAAGAACCTCTTACTAACTGATGTGCAAGGTGAATAATGAACCTTTCTTGTAAGAACACTTCAGTTTGTTTGAGAATACAATTATTTTCAGTGTCTTTACAATTCTGAAGCATTTGAAAGACATACAGAAAATTGAAACTCTGTGAATAATCATGGTGCAGGTCCTTTTTGCCATATCAAATTTTTAAAGAAAAAGCAATTCACATCCAAATTCCCAACTAATATAAACTGATACCATTCTGAGTACTTCTTTAACTTCTGCTGGAAATCTGGCCCGAACATAACAAGAAGCTAGAATATTAACATTTAAACACTTGTATCCTATGCCCATATGTTGCCTGATCTAGTCGAGACGTGGTGTCCCTGGCAACAGGGAGGCTGGATTAACATGATCTCTAAGGTCCCTGCCAGCCTAGGCCATTCTGTGACCTATGATCTATGATTCTTCTGCTACTAGATTGAATGATGGGTTGCCAGGTTCAAGACACTGGGTGGAATTCAGTTTGTAACAGACAACTTCAGTAAGTACTAGTTCAACTTCTAGCTGATTATCAACCAGTGACATTTTGTTCTCATGGTGCAATATTTGTTCCATGATGTCTTCTTTCTGTGCTAATGACAAATAGTTTTTCCCAACATTTTTTCCAAACTTGCAGTTTACATTCAACTCAGATGAATTACTAATTTACTAAAGCTTTTAAAGGATTTAAAACATACTTTTTGATTCTTGAGTGTTATTATGGTCAGATTCCTTCCTGTTTTTGAAGGCAAACCCACTGTTACAGTTGTGTTTATCAAAGAACTTTACCTCTACAGTTGTGTCCCCCACCTCAGTAACAGACTTCAGAAGACTAAAGCCTATGGAGAGCTCTTTTTCACTCTTATTTTTCACACATTTCTCATAGACCACTGATGTGTGAGTCACCCCTATGCAAGAATAACAAAGAAGGTTCAGCCAAATGATTTCTGGAACAAGTGAAATATCTGTACAAATAATGGGTGTAGCCAATGACTCAACAATTTAAATGTGATTTTTGGTTTGTTTTTTTTACTGAAGTCAAAATTCATTGGAATTTTCCTTTGAGGTTAGAACAGGATAAAGGAGAAGTATATACTGTGTAAATTCCTCTGCATGTATTGAAAGTGAATAGACTCATCCACAAGTCATTAATTATTAAACTGAAATTAGCACTTCTAAGGTAATAAATCCCATTGACTCTAATTTTATGCTGTCACAGGGGGCCAGCCAATAAGTCTTGCTTAAATTGTACAAATCAAACCAATATCCCTAACTTGATCAGGACACCTTTACATTGCTTACCATCACCCAAACTCTCCCAAAGTTCTGAAACATCTGAAAAGACACATCTGATTCTCATGTCAGCAGCAAAAGACTTGATTTTACACCCAGGAACATCTCAGGACAAGATGGTAACACTGCTTGACTTCTCTTCTTTCTTGTCAGCCTACCACAAAGCTGTTCCCTGGAAGTCAGACCTGATGCCTCCTGCCTCAAAGTTCATCTTAGTGACCTTCCTGAACACAAGTAATCTAGAAATTTAGTCAGAGCCTTCAGCTCTGCTGCTCATGTGCCCATTGGAGCCACTTTTTCTTGCAAAAAGAAGTGGCCTAGCTTGGCACCCGTATGTCTTGTTACTTCTTAGCCATAACTGAAACTGTAGAGTTAGATATGGCACTGCTCCCCTCTCTTCTCATACTCTTGGAATGAGAGTTTTTCCATCCTGGCCATGACCAGGACTGAAGGAAATGTCACCACACAGGTCCACTACAGGAGGAGACACTGTGTCTGGTTCCTCACATCGAGAGGCCAGCTGTTATGGCAGAGGGTCTCCCATGAATGGAGGCACTTGTCTGAGTGTCAGGCTCAGGACAAGGACGCTTACCTGATGTCCTTCTACGTGGTGAAACAAGTGTCCCACCTGGGAACAACAGGCAGCCACCTCTTTTGCCTTCACTGCCATCACTGTGTGGGCTGTCAGAGCAGACACAGTCATCTGCAGCCCTTCTGCTGAGTTACGTCTCCCTTGATGTGACTGGGAGACCTTTCCTGATCATTTTAGGAGTGGAGGCTGGCTCTTCTAAACTCCCACTGCAGACTAAGCAGAAATCAAATCTCCTTCATATTTAGCATCTACTTATGTCACTGAAAGCTGTCATCAGTCACTGCCACAGCTTGGACAGTAGCTTATGGAGACCAAATCTGTTCATGTGGAATCTATTTACTCTTTCCTTATTTTATCCTTGTCTAGTGGTGGTGGTTCTTTGAAACAACCCAACCCATATACCCAAGGCTTAAGGCAGATAGATACTAGCAGAAAAAAGGCATATGCTTCGCAGACTCTGCATCTAATAAGTCGTCAGGCATTATTTGCTCATCATCCAGCACTCTTACAATCTGCAGCAATTTTGGGGCTGCTTGTCTCATCTTCACCCTTATGCAGTCTAGGACACCCACCTTTGACATCTGAGACACACTGCCTCTCTTGGCTATACTAGTCAGCTCCTGTGGAGCCACTATGCAGCACGTTACCTCAAGGGACAATTTTACAGTGCCTGTTTTTTGGGGAGGTTGAGGTTTTTTTAGGTTTGTTTGATTGTCATGTTTTTAGTGGGGGGTTTTTCTCAAGCAGAGGATGCAGAGACATATTCATTCTGGTTTTCACTAGCAGGAATATTCTGCTGCAACTTACATGTACCACTGCCAACATTTTTGTGGTCTCTGGATAATCCAAATGGCAGCATTTGGTATCTGTTATGGCCCCAATGCACCTCAAATTGGAGATCTTTCTCAAAAGGCTATTAAAGTGCATTGCAAAAATGAGACTCACCTTCCTAGAAGCAACCTGATTAACACAGCATCACCTAGTCTGAACTTGGATTTGCAAATAAAGGCATTCAGTTTCCTTAAGCTTCATAAGAGTTTTCTGTCCCCGCCATGACTCCTCAGCACCAGTAAATAGCTGCTGTAAAACTCCTTTCTGCCGAGATATGATGGAATCTATTTTGCTTGGAGAAAGCAATCTCCAGGACATTTTGTGACTCTGCCACTCTCTTAGGTTCATGGTGACTGTCCATCTCATTTATGCCTGACTCACGCCTTGGAGTTTGTAACAGCTACTCTGGCATCAGTCTTTGCCAGAGCTCATTTTCCCTTGGATTGGATTCAAACTCCTTGTCCAAAACATCTACTTTTAAAATAAAAGATTCATCACTCCATGAGTATAAGAGTTTGTCCAGCTGTGCTGGGCCACCCAATGTTATGCTCTCACATTTTATCCTGCCATAGACATTTAAGGATCTGTATGCAGACCATACCCTGGATTATCCATAGTTATGAAGGGAACTCCATGAACATATACATCTGGCAGTTACAGTTTTACTTTTCTCATGATAATAGCAAAATCTTGTATGAGGTATCGTCTTTCTATGACAACCTCTTTTTTAATAGTAGGAATAATCTGCAGGGATACATAGATTTTGTGGGCTATGTTCACTATATTATGTTAAGACAGGTTTCCTTCCGCTTACACCCCCAAGAGTGCCTTTTCCTTTGGTTCTTATTGGCCTCTCAGAGTTTAAGAACCATGGTGTTTTTACTAGCTCAGTGGCCATCCAGAGTGCTTACCCTCTGGTAAGGGTAATAATAAAAGTTTTGGCACTTAGTCACAGAAACATTTCTTAAGAACTTGGTTAGAGACCTCCTTCTTTACAGAGCAGTTTCCTTAGTGAAACCTTAATTTTGTCTTGACATATAGTTTGACTTTTGATTCCATCTGTCTTTTGAGGAGCACAGACTATCAGGGTTTATAGACCAGGATAGCAAACTCCTGTACAGGACAGAAAAATAAAAGAGACTTTGGGTGTCAAATAGGAAGAAGGTATGTTACTAAAAATGCTGTTTAAAAGTGATCAAGTACCAAGGCCTAAATCCATGGTGGTCTCCATGTGTCATTTGAACTGGCAAGTTACCTGCCTGACTTTATACCTGACCCAGCTATACGGAGCCTTCACCCCATCTCCCCAGGTGTCAGATATGTCAGCTTTTTTATTTAGACAGGCTGAAATCATTTAGGAGGAGCCTGGCAACATCAGAAAGTCCATGGGCAAGGCTATCAACCAACGCTGGTCATGCTGGGACTTGCTACTGGTGTATCGATGTTGAATCAGCAGTAACAAGACTTTGGGGCACTCCAGTAGTACTGTGACAACTGGGCAGCAGCTGCCTTTTGGCAGGACACAGAGGACAGACATTTGTAGTCCAAACCACACACTATGATAACAGTAACTGTTGCAAGGTGTCAAGGCTCAACTTTTCCTACCAGATTGGTCTCCTGTTTGAGCTCTAACTTTCCTATTTTCTATCTTGGGGTTTAGGTTTGTGCAAATAAACTGCTGGAAGGGGAAAATCAGGGTCACTCCCCCAAGTAACTGGAGATTTTTCAGTGTGTGTTACCAATAAAACCATCATCAATGTGCTTTGCATTCTGTTTGCCTTGGAACCCTGCTAGAAAGTACTGGGCTAGAAGGAATCAAAGGTTTGGGGGGCACTTATGTGATAAACGTATTTTAATAAGTAAAAATTTTCTGGCTTGAAGGGCTAGTTGCATGACAACCACACAAAGAATCTCCAACTGCTGGTGAAAGACCTTCCTTTTTTATACCAGTAGTATGATAGTATAAGCATGCATTTTATACATGTCAAAACCAATTGTAACTTGTTATATCTGTTTTCTGACTAGATTTTATTAGCTTTATAAAAATGCCTCAGGAATTTACCTCTGTAGTTGCATAGTAGTTGGTAACTAATTTGTTTTAAAATACCTTATGGAATTATATCTGTGTTTTCATGTGCAAGAGGTTCAAAACATGAGTAAAACATTGTTCATCATAAACTGACGAATTTTAACAGCTGCAGATTCTCAATTTTAAGAGAGGCAATGCTGTCATTCCATTGTATTAACAAGGCCAATTCTATTTCAGTTTACTTTCTACAATGTAAAAGAGGGATTGGGAAGGACTACAGAGGAACAGAAGCCAAAACTCGGAGGGGTATTCCATGCCAGAACTGGGCGGAAAAAGCACCCCACAACCCAAAGTATGGCCTTATTTATATTTGTCTTCAAGTTGTTCTATCTTCCAAAAGTCCTCAACTTCACTTGTATAAATATTTTCCATTTCATGTTATCAAAGCCATTTGTCAGGTGGTTTTTAAAGACAGCTTTATCTTCACCTGTCTTCTTACTTTTGACTCTGTTGGCAGACAACTGGAATGATCTGTGTAAGGGAAGGTTGCATTGTCAGCTATAGAAGTTGCACCTAGGTGCTGGGCCTCTTAAGAAGATGAAATGCTTCTTCTATCACGATGAAAATTTTACTGTTGGTGACAGTGGGACTATCATTTCTCTTTTCTGTATGACGTGTGGGGGAAAAAAAAAAGCAGTGACATCTGTCCAGCTCTATTACCCCCTGCCTGCTGTCCAGACAGTCAAGAAGAAACATCCAGCAAAGTATTTAAGTGCCCAACTATCCCTCTCAGGCAGACTTTTCTCAGGGCTGACTGCCCTGAAGTAAGAGCAGAAACAGGAATCCCATTTTCTCTGATCTTCAGATCTTCGGAGTTTTAACTGTTTACAATTTAATTTTTATTGTTATTCTAATGAATCGTGGATGTGCTTGTTTACATCTTTTGTTTAAAAAACATTTAGTCTTCTCTAGCAGTAATGCTATAGGAAGAAGTCTAGGTTCACTTGCTTTGAAATCTCTGCAAATTAGAATCCAGTTCTGTCTCTAGAAACAGCCCACTTCTAAAGCAGCTGAATTAAAAAAAAATACGTGACAGAGCCGCAGGTCATAGTGACTGACTAGATCAGCTGGATGCAGGTGTTAAAGACAATAACTGTCTTTTGAGACTGTCATAGTCCTCACAGGCTGTAAGCTCACTTATCACTGGCAGCTGGGACCTAGGGAGAAGGCTACTAGTAATGGTAGTTGCAAAATGTTTTTTCAGATTTCATTTATGGGTTACAGTGGGGAAGGTTTATCTCATTTTTACTGTGAACAGTGAATAGAGCCCCTAGCTTGCTTGGCAACTTGCATGTTTCCCTTCTGCTCCACTAAATTACTGGAATTAAAATAGAATTTTAATCCTATTACAGGTATACACCCGAAAAACACCCCAATGCAGAGTTGGATGAAAACTACTGCAGAAATCCTGATGGAGATGAAAATGGACCCTGGTGTTACACAACAGATCCTGCTACCAGATTTGATTACTGTCACATCCCAGAGTGTGAGGGCCAGGTCACGCACACTGGAGAAGGTAAATTTTATTTTTCAGAGCAGGAGTGTTTGAGTAGGTAATATTATCCATGCTATTTGTTTTTACTTTAATATTGCAGCTTGATTTCAAATGTGAATTTAAATCAAACTGGAACTTAAGAAGGTTGCTCAATGCAAAGGTTGTTTTCTTAATTGCCTCCAGTTATCAGAGTAATACTGTAAATATAGAGGAACTGATCTTTTTTTATGGTTCACTGATATTGTCCTGCTTTTGCCCCTAGCAATTTATTTAATTTTGACAAGAGTAAAGATTTACCTAAGTACTGTGTTACATACAAAACTCCCATTGATATGAGTATATACAGATACATGACAAAGTCCTCCCTCCAAATGACGTGTGTCCCTAAAGCTTTATTCTTTTGTCTGGGCTATAATGCACAGTCTTCTGGATTCCTTTTACCATTAGCTGGAGCAAACCTCTCATTTCCTTTCCATATACTTTTCCCTGTATAAATCAGGACCAGAATTCATGAGCTGGTGAGAACCTTGCTTTGTTTTCATCCTGCCTAGGCCCTACAACGGAATGCATGCAGTGTAATGGTGAAGACTACCGTGGAGAAGTTTCTAGAACAGAGTCTGGGCTTGAGTGCCAGCGCTGGGATGCCCAAGAGCCTCATATCCATGGATTTACCCTGAAGCAGTGAGTCACGTTCAGTGCTAGATTCATTCCCACAGTGCCTGGGAGTCCCTGCCTGCAGCCAGCCTAATTGCTACGCCTGGCCATAGCTGACTCACAAGCTTCTCTTTCTTTTTGAACCTGCAGCTTTCCTGAGAAGGATCTGAAGATGAATTATTGCCGTAATCCTGATGGCGAACTTCGACCCTGGTGTTTCACTACCAGCCCTACTAAACGCTGGGAATATTGCAACATTCCTCGTTGCTGTGAGTCTGATTTCCTGAGATGACCCCAGAGGGTAGCTCCTCTCATAAAAATTATGAGGGAGGGGAAAGACAAGAAATCACGGTTCTGAGTAACCTGAAGAAATTCAGGGGAAAAAAAACAGGGAAAGTGCACATTAATAATCTCTCACTAAATTTCTGTTACTTAAAATCATGCAAGGTCAGTGAGGATGCAGATGTCACAAAGTGTGATAATGCAAAAGATGATGTGGAAACCCTAATTTGTCTTCAACCACTTTTCAATTTACCCAAGAGGTGGGGCATTCAGGTTAAATCAGTTGGTAGTTTTCAGCTGACCTGGTAACTCATGGAAAACACCTAAATTACCGTGGGTACATACTGTGATATTTTACTTGGGTGCAGCCCGTACAGCCAGCACTGTGTTTTTCTTAGCAGCACGTGAATCTTGAGAAACAAGTTCAGGCCTCAGGAGAAAAACGTGACTTGTCTGTGAGCTAGCTTAATCCATTAAGCTGACCACACTAAAACTGGACATTTCCAAAGCACTGAATAACAAGATTAGCATTGCCATTTGTAGAACTGGACTGCACTTTGAGGGAAAAAAAGTGGTTTTGTCTCTAGAGCTTGCTTTTTTATGCATCTGCACTTGCCAGTGCTTTAAGCAGCAGCATGTGTTTGCTAGCTGTAGTTTGCTTCAATGATAGATGGAAACATGACTCTTTATAGACTTCTGTATCATAAACTGAGTTGTGGAGTTTAGCATAGCATCTCTAGTTTGTTCTTAAATCTTAAAGACAGTTTAAGTAATAGTCTAGTCTTTTACAGTCTTATTTCTCTCCTTGGGAAATTCCATATACAAAGTATATATGAGGTATGCACTGCAGATTAATTTTCTCTCTGCTCTCGGCAGGTTCTGTGCCTCTCACTGTTACACTCACTCCCTTTGCCATTCCCCGCATGCCAGACTAATTCACTTCCTTGCACACCTCCTTCTGCCCCACTTTCCCAATTCACTCACTCCAGAATCTGTTTCTTCTTTCTCTCACAATTTCTTCTTGGCGTTTATCCTTACCCTTTCTACCCTTTCCACTCTACCCGTGTGTATTACATTAATGTGCTCCCTTTATCCCACTTGTTTTTACAAGACTATAGAGGACTACTCATTGCTTTTCCAGCTCTGCTCTCAGGGGACTGCAGGCACTGAATCTGGCTTGACTCAGCACGGTTATTAACTGACTTCTGTAGAAGGGCAGACACGGCACATCTGTCTGGCAGCCTGACTGCTTGTGAAAATGAAAATGTACAGTTGGTTCTGCCCTGGCTTTCAATCAATTCAATGTCACCTCTGCTGAAAGAAAAAAAAAACAAACTATGTTTGACATTACAGAATATAAAAGGGTTTAAAATATATATGAAAGCACTTGTTAGCAGCATTTTTCTTTTATTTTCTTATTTTTCTCTAAATCCTGCTACAGCTACGCACCCATCAGTTTCTGGCTTGGACTCCCAGTGTCTTTCAGGGAAGGGAGAAGACTATCGAGGCAGGATAGCCATCACTGAATCAGGAAATGCCTGCCAACATTGGAGCACACAGTTTCCTCACAAACATGGCTGGATTCCTGACAGATATCCCTGCAAGTATGCTGAGCCTCATTATTTTAACAAATATGAAACAGCATAGTTATTCCTTATGGACCCAGAGGCAGAGGCAAGAGTAGCCCAGGTTTTCTGCAGCTGTATTTATAAGCTGTTGCCTTTCGTCAGCTTTCTTTACTTCCATTCAGGTCTTAACATTTCTCAGCATTCCTTTTTTTAGCAGCTACTTTATTCTCACGTACTTGTGTCACCTGTCTCCTCCACATCCCACAGCTAAGTATTTACTGTTTCTATGCAAAAAAAAAGCCCTGGCTGTGTTTTTGGCACATTTTCAATGCATTGCTCTTCCAAATAGTGATGCTCCAAGATCCAAGATGCTCCAATACATCCCTGTGCTACAAGGTCAGAGGAGCTGGGTGTTATCAATGAGCAAGGGTAGCTGGGATTGACTAGGCTTTCAGTTCTGCATTTTGATCCTGTGGGTTGTGACATGGAGCCTGGGCATGCGAAACCCTGTCTATTATCTTAGGGCAGAGAGTAGCATGCACTGGTGCTCGTATGCACGCGCTTCCAGGATCAGTCTGTGACATCCAACGTTGTCTGGTTCTTACTGTAATGGCCAGATGCACCAATGGCTTGTGTTTTGAAGTCTGTTTTTACTGCCATAACTTAGCTTCAAAAAGAAAAGCAGGAAGTGTAAGTATTGGAAAATTCTTCGTATATTATCAGCATTTAGACTGTAAAATCGAAGGCTGTTGATTAGTCCCATAATAGTGGTGCATGAGGTAATTGATCTCCAAAAAGAGTAAATGTAGCCTCTGAGTTGAACTTTGCATGCAGTAGTTGTTAACAGCCTTGCATACAACTCTTCTGGATTCCTATGAGTAGTTTAAAGCCAGTGTTTCTGTTTCAGGGGCTTAGAGGAAAACTACTGCAGAAATCCTGATGGAGAGAAGAGGCCCTGGTGCTACACCCTGAACAGCAGCATTCGGTGGGAATATTGTGAAATTCCCCAGTGTGAGGGGACGGAACAAGAGATTACTGGTATGAATCATGGCTCGTGCTTGAGATAAGGACTTAAAAACAGTGAGAGATTTATTGTTTCTCATAGTGAATGTGTTAAAACTTGTTTCAGTCACTTTGTCACTGTTGTTTATGCAGTTTTTCTGCTTGGCATGTTACAAAACCTGCCAAATTTTGGACTTCAAGTGGTTTAGGAAATGCAGTGAAGGATGTAAACAACCAGCTGACCCAACAGAAGAATTACAGTATGAAAGACATTTATTTTTTTATATTCCTTTTTTCACAAAGGTGGGGCATTTTTTAGCAAGTTAATTGAAAAAAATTAAAAACAGGCTTAAAGAGAGGAAAAACTGCTGAACACAAGGAAGTACCATTTCTGGAAAGTAGCCACAAAAAGGAGGACAGGAACTTCCAAAGTAATAAAAATCTCATCTGAAACATCCATTCATTTAAACAAAAAAAAAAAAAGAAGAAATTCGTAATGCAGTCAGAAGGATAAGATAGAGATTAAAGTTTGACATAATGTCAATTTTAGAACTCTATCAGGGACAAAATTACTAGCATCTAATCTATGAGGTTTTTTATGTGAACTTACGATCTTTAATCCAAATATGCTTACATCTACCAACATGAAACTGAGTGGTGAACCTTCCATGGAACAACATCTAACATGCAAGGGTAATCTGTGAAAGTTTCCTAAATATCTTTGAAAATGCCCTTCTGCTTTTCATACTGGCCGCGATCCTTTCACTGACTATATAAATCAGTCATCTGGGTTTTTGGGTTTGACATTTTCTTGTGCCAACTCAGTAAGAACATAAAATCATGATGCAGAAGACCAGTTGCTGTTGTTTGCTGCAGATGTACCGATGCTCGTTCCCCTGCTGGAGGAATGCTACCGAGGCAAAGGCCAGAGTTATCGTGGCACAGCTTCCATCACTGCATCAGGAAAAATATGCCAGGCTTGGAACTCCATGTTCCCACATAGGCATGAAAAAACCCCGGACAGATTCCCAAATGCGTATGTTTATCTCGCCTTTTCTTTTTTATCTGACAATGACTCTTGCTGATTATATTATCTTTGCACATCCGTGCTTTAAAACACTGCCAGGAAATGTAACCATAAAAGAAAACTTCTCCAAGATGTGGAAACATTTACTATAAGTCTCATTTTTAGAAAAACTGTGTTTTCTTCATATATAAATTCTGAATAAAATACAGCTGTGTTCCTCCACTTTTAAATCCGGGCTCCTGTAACCAGCACCGGGAGGCGTGTATCCAAAGTCCAGGCATCTACTGAAATATGCCTTTTATTTATAAATTTGAAACTTTTGTGGTGGCCTTTCTATGTATTTCGTTTGGGGAGAACAGAGCATTTATGCTGCAAAACACACAGTCAGAAATTATTAGAACTACCATTCAAATGTTGGAATTGGGCACCCAGAATTGCATGCTCTGAGTTTCCCCCCTTGGTTTGTCTTCTTCAGACTAACTAAACTGGAACAGCAATAACTTAGAAAGCTAATCTTAATTACTAATGTGCCAGTAATAAATGATGATTGTTAGGAAACCCATCAGTTCTTGATGTGTTACAGGTATAAGCAGAAAGGTTGATACTTTCCTATTTTTTTGCCTTTTTTATGATGTCACCCTAAATAATTATATTTTTTAATAAAAAAAGGTCATATTTTGGCATCAAAATACTGATGTATTGAAACTATAACATCCTCAGAGGGGATGCTGTTTTTCACAAGTGTTAAAAAAATTAAATCAGGTTGTGAAAATGTGGAATGAAACATTGTGGAAATGAAAAAAAAATGTGGAAAGAAAACATTTCATTTTTTTTTATTATTCCATGGCTGTGCTGTGATTCAGGATGGGGAAATATTGGAACTCTGCAAATTACTGAAGAGAGAAAAATCTACTTCCTCCTGCTCCACCAAGCAGAGGCATGGAATTGCTCCCACTGAATTCAGTAGAAATAGGGTTTCTGGGCGGTGTGGGGGAACCACTTGCATAAGTATTTATTTGCCATTCTTCTGAATATGGGAAAGAACCCTTTGTCATTTAAAAATATAAATTCTGGAAAAGCATAATTGCACAAAAACAGTATGGATCTTCCTGCATATTTATTACTAATACATTCACACAGTTGTTTATGCTTATGTATATATAAATAGAATTAAATTATTGACATATCAGGCATTTATTTTGTTACTCAGTGCATTGAGATAGTAGAATTTAAGCCAGTAGTTGAATTATGTTTCCTTTTGATAAATATATTCATGACTATAAAGTGCATGTGAAATAGAACTCTCCACTCATATCACAGCCATAAATGTGTTTGCTGGTAATACTATACCTGGCAATAAATAAAAAATTAACAAATGTATTTATCTCTGCACAGTACAGATCAACATCCTTTTGGCAAGGTATTCCTATGATTCCTTTTCATCTTCTGCCACATAACTATTATACTTACTTTTGCAGGGATTTGAGGGGCAACTATTGTAGAAATCCAGATGGTGACAGGAGCCCATGGTGTTTCACCACTGACCCCAATGTGAGATGGGAGTATTGCAATCTCAAGAGGTGTGATGATCATATACAAGAGCTGGCACCAAATGACCCCCCTGAAACAGCAGCACAAAATGTTGGCCTGATTACGCCCATCACATCTGGTAACAGCTGGCTATAAGTGTCATCTCCTGTAGAGTCTGTGGGTAAAGGAAATATTAATCTATCAAAATTATTCTTGAGTAGTGCTGCAATATGACAATCACATCCCTCCCCCAGCTTTCAGATCTGTGCTGTTGAATTTTACAGCAAGTACTCTTCAGTCAGTTCATATGCTGTAGCCTATATCATTTTACAGTGCCTTCTGTAGGATTTCTTTTTCATCTAGAGGAACAAGAGGAAAATAGACATTTCTAGTGTTTCTTTAGCTGTATGCTATCAAAATGTCACAACGAATGTTGTTTTTATAGGAGTTTTCTTGTGCTGTGCTTTGTGTTTTGTGGAGGTTGACCTTAGCTTATTGTGTTGTTTGTAGGCAACGAGGTTTTTCAAAATATAGGCACCAAGAGAAATAAGTTTTTGATGTATCCTGCTTCACTGCTTCCATTAATAGTCCATGTTGGTCAAAGTGGTATGACTTTTCTGAATATAAAGCAGAGCTTTCCAAGAACTATTAACTTTTCAAAGAAAGGTGGCAGGGACGGATAAAAGATGCATCTCTAAATGGAGCTTTGTCATCTTACTCATGTGCAGCCAAAGAACATACCTGAACAAAAATTACTCTTTCAGTATAATGGGATGTTAACTCTGAAATACACTTCTCTCATGGAAGGTGCTTACTGATACCAACTTGGCAAGACTCTTGGAGACTTTTCAGATATTTGCAACATCTTTATGAAAAAGTTTAGCCTGAAGGTCATAGAAATTTTTTCCAGTTCAGTTACTCTATACATCCAGGAAGACAAACTGGGGGAATCACATCACAGGGTATATTTTTGTCTCTCTGCTATAGACACTAGAGTGTGTGCAAGTTCAAATGGTACTTAATCTGGCTTGTTTCTGCTTACTACCCACACATACAGATTCAGAAGCTAACAATGATTTCCTTTTCCTCTTTTTTTCACAGACTGCATTCACGGTAATGGTAAGAACTATCGTGGCACAGTAGCGAAAACTGGAGAGGGCAGGACTTGTCAAGAGTGGGCTTCTCAGAAACCTCATAGCCATAAATATTTCACTCCGGTGACTCATCCAAGAGCAGGCCTGGATAAAAATGTAAACAGCTTCTAAAGCCATTGGTGCCATTGAACGTTGTCTCCTTTCTCCGGGAGCCCTCAGTAAACACTTTGTGTTAAGTCTTTATAAACCATGTTAAGCGTGTCTGGTAGTCATCACATTGATAGCCCAGACCTATAATGACATTGAAGAGGGAAGCATGCATTTTACATTACTCAGGAATTTTTTACTTCAAGCACAGAGGTACCCCATGGGGTTGACACTGAGAAGCAAGCAGCACGAATGAAATCTACAGCTCTTCCCTGATTTCTGCGAACTCCAAAGCGATGCCTTTTGCTGCTTGTCACAAGCTAAGCACCCTTCTGGCAAATTCTCAGAGCTGACCTAACTTGCTGTCAATGACTTTAGGGGAAGAAGGATTAGGCCACCAGCAAATGTTTCAGGCATTTAGTCATCATGTCAAACTTTACTTCTCGTGAGGCAAAAAAAGCCCTAGACCTAGGGTGAGTCTTGGTGAAGAAAATTATAGCAATTTTATCATATTTTTCTAACTTCACTTAATAGGTTGAAGACACAGAAGAGAAAAAAATTGGGGATCAGAGAAAACAGAAAGCATTTAACATCCAGTGAAAAAGTAGTTTTGGGAAATAATTCAAAGTTTTAGTTTAACACTTGTATAAGAACATCCACTTTTAGACTTCTTCATTCTGTGGCTAAAATTTGGAGTCTTCATTCTCTGTTTTTGTAATTATTACAGTATTGCAGGAATCCTGATGGAGATGAAAATGGTGTTTGGTGCTTCACAACAGACCCAGAAAAAAAATGGGAATACTGTGAAATTCCACGCTGCTGTAATTATCCTTAAAGACTTTTCTGTCCTCCCTTTCCACAACTATATGTGTTACAAAATGTTTTCAATCTAACAGTAAAAAACTCCAGTAGGTAGTAGCTTTTGAATTGAATTTAGTTTTATATGGAAGTTTGACAAAATCATGCACCTGCAATAGTCATCCAAATTTTAGATAACCTAGTGCTATGAATCAGCAGTACAATTTCATAGACAACACCCTGTGTGCTCTTTATTATAAGTTGCTAGCTGAATTTGAAATATCCAATGAAGCTTTGAAGGGGGATATTCCTTCTCTGGAGTCCACTAACACAGGAGAGGATTTCCTTGATGTTCATGTTAGTCTTTCTATGAACTTTGTGGCAGGACTAATGCCTTGAAAACCTGCCTATACACTTTTTCTGTTAGTTGGGAGCACCAGAGATTACAATCTTTGAAACCCTTTTCATTCTCTACTGATTTGTTTTTTATTCTTATCTGGATGTTAGGATAATCTGTGGCTAAATATTTTGCCTTTCATTTGGGGTAAGGAGTGAATTTGGTCTTGGATATTTTTCTTAATTCTTTTTTTTCTATTTTGGGATAGTAATCAGTAAACTGAGCAGGTGCAGTGTTTGTTGAAAAATTCATCAGGAAAAGAGTTCTTACGTTTTCTGGTGCCCTGGCAGTGGGCATCATTAACAGCTCTAATGTACCGGGAGCACTGCTTTGCGCACCTTGACTGTCATCTTATTTGCTTTGCTCTTCCCTTCCTTGCCTGTGTTTTGATAGATTTAAGAAAGAAATATCAGGAAGGGACATGGAAAAACTATTACTTCTTCATTTCTTGTAATATTTTTAATACAGTAACATCTAGCGGCCAGGTCCCTGCTCTCTTGGACAATGGAGCAATACAAAATAGGCAGGAGTGATCACTCCCTCAAATACATGTTATTCTTCCTGCTGGCCTTTTAATGTGTTCCTGTAAGCAGCAATGCATTATCATTATACACAATCATAATGTGCAAGCAAAAAGAATAAGGAATAATGTACAAGTAACACATGATACAGCTGTGAAAATCCATTCCCTGGAACTTCTCTGGTGGAGTTTTACTTTAAGATCTAATCTGTTTTCAAAACAGCCTTTGAATACTAGATTTTTACATTAAGGTGTAAGGGAACTTTAGTCGTTGATAAGTTTATTAATTGTCTAATGCTCGAGCTAACAAATTTAACGTCTATAGCACCATATACGGCTCTGGAAAGAGTTACTTAGATCCTTACTGAGCATCCAAGCTAAATCCATTTAAAAAAGTTCAGAGACATTTGGATAAGCAAGAAAGTAGAGTAAGCAATGTGAGAGCAAAATTGGACTATTTTATGAAAAGGGACAGTGGCTCAATTTTATTTTTAATCTAGGGATTGTTTTGAACTCAACCAAGATGTAGAATATAATGTTTTAAAGGATTTAGAAATTGTTACTATTGTCTGGGCAATAAACACTTGCAGTTCCTTTAGCACTGTTTTCCCTTCAGCTTCGCTGCAGATTTTCTTTTGAGGGTGGGGCTCTTTATAGTTTTACTTATGTTATCTGATTACATCCAAATATTTGACATAGCTAACAATTTTTGTCCAGGTAAATTAATATTTTATCATGTCAAATGTGAAATATTAGCCCTAGGTATAAATGCTGAAGGTAATGATAATGTAATGGAGTCTAAAGATTCTAATTGTTCCTTTACCTTTAGTTTCTATTAGCCAACTTAAAGAGTGAAAGCCTAAGGAAGATAAAAAATGTCTTATGCCTTTCTCTTTTCATCTGATTGCACTGTGGGTGGCATTACAGAACTGCCTGAAAATTCTGCATTGTAACTTTTTTTTTTTAATTCTGTAGCTTTTGAGCATGATTGTGGAAAAGTCCCAATGAGACATGAGCGAATCTGTGAGCGATATAACATGTGTGACTCATCTCCGGGGTCTTGGCCTTGGCACATCAGTCTCAGGATGAGGTACTGGTATGCCAGACTGTATCAACATCCGTGAGCACCAGGGTTTCACAGGGATCAGGTGTTAGAAAGAGACTAGCAGGAAACAATGCAAATGCTTCTGGAGACTGGCCTTGGTCTCTCTATAAAATATCTCAGCGTGTAAAATAAACTGTCGTCTGTTTTTTTAGAAATAATGTCCACAGAGAGCTACTTAATCCCAAACTCCCTGCTTTCTCTTGAATCTCTAGAGGGAAATGTTGAATTACAGATGTTAAATACACCTTTAATTATTGAAATAGGGAGGGAATAATTCCTGCTTGGGATAGTGACAGTTAATTGCATTCCCTGGTCAGTAATATAAGCCCAGGAATATAGCCACCAACCTGCAATGTGTATGAATGGATTTTGATAATTCCTTTTCATCCAGCATCCAGTCTAGTTCAAATGTAAATTGATGCTGTGCCCACTCTGGTTGTCTTAGAAGCCATAGAAAGATCATCATGTCTTAGTTTAAAACACACTCTATGCACAGCATTTCCACAATCACAATAGGAGCGATTGAACAGGAGATGAAGAACTGCTTACAGAAAGGCTAATGAAAATTTCTGTAGAGTTGTTGATAGTCATCATAATAAATATTATCCCAAGAAACATTAGAAGATCATAGTAAGATTTATTTAAAGAACTAGTCCAATGCAACCCCACAAATCAGGATGATGTATCCTGTTATTAAATCCTCATCAGGACAAACCTATTACATCACAAGTGAAATTGTTAGGAAATGCAATTAGTTTTGTTAAATTCCTGAAAGCAAGAGTGAGCCGTTGCAAAAATTTCACCTGGGTGTCAAATTTCTTTTCACATGTCTCATGTTCTGGAGCAAATAAAGCTTGTCCTTTGAAAAATCTGCATTTGATTTCTCTTGCCATTGGCAAAAGACAATCTATGGCTGGTAAAAGGGGTATGTTGCTAGTTTGCTAATATTTTCCACCGTGCACAGTATAGATGGTGGAGAATTGACTATGCAGTCTTAAATGAATGTGATTGTCTTCTCTATTCTAGTACCAATGTGCACCATTGCGCTGGCGCTCTGATACATCCACAGTGGGTCCTTACTGCAGCTCAGTGCTTGCAAGAGTGAGTATTTGCTGGAACAAGTGATAGGCATCTCCTAAATCTGCCTGAGAAAATCAACAGAGGAGCAAGATGTACTGAAAAAGGCCCTTTCTTTACTCCTTATTTCCTATCTGTCTTACCAGCAAGTTGATGTTTATCTTCTGCTCCTGTCTCAATCAAACAGCAGCAGAACACAACAGAAGTTGCTTCTTTTGTCTGCCCTCTTCTTCACCCCAAAGCAGTCCAGAAAGGATGCTAATGATATGCTGGCGCTAACTGCACTTGGAAAAACTGTGGCTAGCAGCTGATCCTTAGGGCTTTAGGAGTTATGAACACTGCAAGAAGGTGTGACATTATTTACAGCCCATGGGATTTTTCACTGTCATAAAAATCAAACTGTTAAAAAAGCTACGTTTTCCTTCTCCCCCAAACATAAATGAGGGCACCAGCCTGAGCATCTTGTTAATTGTGGATCTCCAGGGAAATCAGTGAATTTTGTAAGAATGACATTCCTGATTCTGTGTATGGATGTATAACCTTGTCATTGTCATTCTTCCAGGTCAGAAGAACCTACTTCCTATAGGGTGTTTCTTGGGATACAGAATCTCAATGCAATAGAGTCATCCCTGCAAATCCGAAGTGTTCAGAAAATATTAAAGGAACCAACTGGAGCAGACATTGCTTTGCTTAAGTTGAACAGGTACCATTTCAGTCCAAGTTTTCCACCCATAATAACTTTATTCTGAAGTCACAAGTTAGCTTAGCATGGAGTTAACTCTCAGGGGTGGTTGTGGGTGGTATGAGAGAGTGTGAGAGTCCCTTCAGGTGTTAGCATAGGCATCTGTTCAAGAGTGACGTCACTGGCAGAACCCCTGTGAACTTCTCACAGAGCTTAGGGAAGGCAAGGGCCAGTTAGGATGGGAGGAATTGTCATGGGGGATTCCCACTCACCATCTGCTAAGAAGGAGCTCCCCTGAAGTAGAGAGGGTGGAGGCAAACTGAAGTGGAGTTGTGTTTGGAGGATATTCTGCTTGGAGGCTTTTCCTGCTCAGCTTTGAGGCCTGTGAGTCCCAACTGAAGTTTTGGCCAGGAGACACCATAGCTTCTGCATGGAGCAAGTAGAAGGATCCAGTTTACCTGGCAATGGTTCAGTCCAGGCCACATATATGTTTCATGAGCTGCAGACTTGGCAAACAGCTCAGTAAAACCAGATCCTGTCATGTGATATAGTGAAAAAACTCTTATGCATAACTGTACTTGCCTGAAGCCCTCTTTTGTGTCTTGCTTAGATGTCTGAGCAGTCTCAGGAACTGAGAACTGTGTGTGGTTGTCTATCGAAAGGAGGTTTAGGTTGGATCTCAGGAAGCACTTCCTCATGAAGAGGGTGCTCAGGCATTGGGATGCCCTGCCCAGGGAAGGTGTGGAGTCACCGTCCTTGGAGGTGTTTAAGGAGCAGCTGGATGTGGCACTTAGTGCCCTGGTCTCGCTGATGTGATGGTGTTGGGTCATAGGCTGGACTTGATGATCTCAGAGGTCTTTTCCAGCCTCAGTAATTCTGTGATTATGTGATCAATTTTCAGGAGTTCTTTCAATAAAAATGGACTTTATTAAGAATGAACTAGATGAATTTCATAGAACCATGTGAAAGTGAAGGTTTGAGATAAACATCTTGGACTTCAGAGGGCTGGAGGATAGTGTTCAAAAGGATAATGATGACTTCGGTACAACTCCAGCTTCAGCACAGGAGCTAGTTAGCATCTCTCACCCTCCTGGACTGCTGTGATCATGTTTCATTCAGATTTTTGTGTTGAAGAGATCTTTATTTTAAGATAGGTCAGAGTCAGTTCCCTTGATCTCTCATTCTTTTCAATTTTCTTTGAGCTCACAGCCCTAGCATGGCCTGATTAGAAACAGAGTGATTTGTTAGTGCTTTTTAATTGGACATCAGAGATCTCACTACCTGTCACATCACATGCCTTCTAAATCATTCAAGGCCTAAAAAGAGATTTTTAAGGTTCATTTTATCCTGACCAATCTCCTCAACTTCATTCAAGTCCTTTTACTCTGTTTCACAATCAGAACTAACCTTTACAGGATAGGTTCCTGACAGTGGTAGATCTCCTTTAACAGCTTGCTCATACATACTTTCACCTTATCAAAAACTGTTTGCACTTGTCTGATGCCTAGAGTGATATATCTCCCAGAAGCCACCTCATCTTTTCACATCTACATCTGAAAGTCAGTAAAGAATTGGACAATCAAAAGAAAAGATTCCCCTATGCAACAGTTTCATCTTCTGCAGAACCGCTTCCCAGGGCCCTGTCCACTCTGTATCGGCTTTATTCCAGTTCTGAAGCCTCCAGGAAAATGTTGTGATAAGGAAGGAGTTTATTTTGGTACTTTACTGAGGTGATAGACTTAGTAATATGTGAGATACTGCATGATGTCACCTAGTTATATCACTCACGTAATCAGAGGAGAAAGGAATTTTCTGTAACATCAGCTGAGTCTGCTTATTTACTCATTCATCCATCCTTTCCCTCTCCTGTGAACTTCTTGAAAACATCCATGACTTCTGAGGCGGGGATGATCTGAAATAAGTCAGGCTCATACCACCTGCAAGGGTTGCTAGGGGCTCAGCTTGGGCTTGTGCATGGTCTTATGCACACTGCAGGAGTAACCGGAGATCAGCGCCCTAGCACTATCCGGCAAACACACTTGCACTGTCACTGTGCCCGCAAACATTCCCAGAGACTTTCAGTTGCTGTAAAGAACCTCTTTTTTCACTAAGTGACTAGACACCACCTTACAACCATCTATATGATTTTAAGACACCACCAGCTTCTCCACCCTTCCCCATGCCATTTCCATGCAGAGCTTTCTGAGTATGAAGACTGAACAAGCTGATGTGTAATTTTTCTAAGGATCTTTTAATTATTCTTTGTTTGTTTTCCAGTCCTGTAACAATTACTGACCATGTAAAACCAGTTTGTTTGCCTGAAACTGATCTGACGGTAGAAAGAAGTGCAATGTGTTTTCTAACTGCCTGGGGAAAAGCAAGAGGTAAAGCATATTCGGTGCAATTGAAAATTTAGTAAGGTTTTCAAATCCTATCCCAAAATATGTGCACGCTTGGGACCTGAAAACCATATTTTACTAAAGATTTGACTAAGTCAGAGGTCACTAGGCAACATAATTATTTTTATTTATTTCTCTTGGAGCTTGATTTTTCCCCCTCATTGCTCACATGAAGTGAATTCACTAAACAAGAGAAAAGACAGAGGAGAATTAGACTTTACCACCTTTTATCGCTGTCTATTTCAGTCTTTCTTCAGCTTAGTATAAACTATATTTGAACAAATAAGGACAATGCTCAAATAATGCCATTGCCTTTAATTTTAATCTTCAGATACACTTTTTTTTTAACATCTGAATAGAGCTTGCACTTGCCTTCTTGTAGTCTAAATATTACTGTCTGCATAGACGTCTTCAGGGACCTACATTCACTCCAAACCGACAGGATATCTGGGCAAGCACCAGCCTTAAGACCTTGTATCTGAGATGGCATCCTGGGAACCGTGAAGTTTTTGGGATGGAGTCACTTTGGAGGCACAGGCAAAAAAAGAGTTCAAGCTGAAGTAAAACCCTTACCGGAATTTTGTTCACAGTCTGGCATTGAAAACCAACCATGTGGTCACCTGCTGCCCAGCTCTTGCTCCATTTATGTTGAGGGTTGAGAACACCCAGCCCTCTTTTACCCACTTTTGCTGAAGCCTGAGGTGATTCCTCATCCCTGCGGCTTCCAGCAGGCATCTGCACCTGTCAGTCTTAGCTCCCACATACACGTTTTTGACCTTGCTGAGCTACGTGCACAGGATGTCCTTCCCACCCTGTTTGCCATACAGCACGATATTCACACTCCATTAATACTTGTAAAATGAAGCAAATGGATTCTTCTTTGTGTGTACATTCGACGAATTTTTAAAATAAATAAATAAAAGTGGACAGAACATGTCCCTGTCTCCAAGTTTCACCATAAAAGCCTCCAACATAGATTGCAACCTTTTTGCCCTTCTTGTGTAATTTAGCTACAAAACTGATACTATGAAAATAATGCTTAAGAATAATAACTCTCCTATTAGTGTAACTCATCAGCATTATAAAGAAATATCTTTTTGCAGCACAGATAGCATTTGCTGACTCTCTTCTCACCTTTTTTCCCTTCCTGACCTTGCTTTTTTTTTTTTTTTTTGACTGGCTTGCCACAGGGTGGCAGCTGTTTTCTATGTTATAGTGATCACAGCCACAAAAAAAATGATACAGGCTACACTTTTTCTGGAAGTGGAAAAGAAAGGTGGAAAGAAACGTCAGATCATTGTTGCCTTTAGATAGCGGGAAAGAGGGTCCTGCCATGTCAGGCAACTATTTCATTAAACTGTGTTTGGGAAGAATTTGGCCTTGGCATCAGGAAAATCCTCCTTGTCTGGAAAACCCTTGAGGCCTGAAGGAATTAAATTAATGTAAAGTAAATCCAAGCTAACGTTTTTTCCCCTGAAAGAAGCTATTGCTACTGCACCATAATAAAACCTACAAACTGACACAATGGCTCAGAATACTAAGCACCTGGTTTTATTTATTTAGTAAAGAAGAATAGCCTCTGCTTGTTGAGAGTCAGTATGATCCAAGTACAAAAAATTTGAAAGATTTAACAAGGTCATTCAAGGGGCTCAGAGACTGTAGTAGAGCTGGGGACTAATCCCAGTCCTTTTATTACTCAGACTTCACTGGATCACAATGCCCCAGCTACCATTCATAACTGTTATATTTTCTTGGTTGTTCACAAAGGTACCGATGCAGACAACAGATTAAAAGAGGTTGAATTACCTGTGCTTGAAAACAGAATATGTAATCGACCTGAATTTCTGAATGGAAGTGTCAAAAATCACGAATTTTGTGGTGGATTTACTTTTGGAAGCATAGCCAACTGTGAGGTAAGAATAATCTATCCTTGAATGCAAGCAAGTCAAATGACAATTTGCACTTTCAAGGCTCAGAAATAGCTTCAGCAACCCAAGGCTTCTGTGTGAAGCATAAGAACTGATATATATAGCATTTTTCCTTCACTCACACAGTCAATCAGGATAGCAGGAAAACTGTGTAAGGTAATTTCGCCTTCCTTTCAGAAATGTGTGCCGACATTTTCTACTCCTAGTAGTCTAGTGTTGTGAATACCCCACCTCACCTGAAATAATATACTACCTGGACTTCCCTTTGATCCTAGAGACAGAGGGGAAACCGTGACTGTTTCTGGTGCAGCCTGGAATTGTAACATATCTTTATTTAATCCATTGATTGCTAGATTTTCAGACCAGGGGAATGGCCTGGATGCTTAGAAACAACTTTTCTCCCAGTTTTTTACTCAATACGTCTAATAAGAGACTCTTTGTCTCTCCACAGCCCTCGCCTTAGTCATATTTTGAGGCCTTAAGAGTTACCACAATATTATTCCCACCAGTATTTTGCTGTTTGCATGTCTAGTGTCTCCTTCACTAGAGAAGTCACCTTATTTCTTTCCCTCCACAGGCTGAAGTTGGAGGACCTCTGGTCTGCCAAGATAAGGACAGATTTGTCCAATATGGAGTCACCTCTTGGGGACTGGACTGTACCCAGCCATCAAAGCCCGTTTTTGTCAGAATTCCTAGTTTTGCTTCTTGGATCAAGAATGTAATAGTTGCCCACTGAAGCTGGGTGCACACTAGCTTTTCTGGAAAGTAGTCCCTGCATCAGAAACAGTATTCCAAGTATATTTTAAAAATTATGATAATTCATAAGAACCTTAAATAAATATTGTTACTGGCTGAGCAAAAATATTTATGGTAAAGCAATAGCCAAATTGACCAATTATTAATCTCTGTCAGTGTGTCTGTACTATGCCTGGGTAAGTGTTGAATGTGGCAGCAGGTTCCTACTTCACTCCTCTCTTTTGAGACATGCTTCAACTTATGAAAGTGGCTTCCTCTTTGTTCATATACCTGCTTTTCTTCTCTGTACCTGCAAGCACCTGGCCTATCTGTGTACAAGGACTTCTCTGTGCAATAAATTTTATCCCATATCAGGCCTGTCCCTGTACCCATCACCAACAACTGCTCCCATGAGTAAGAAAATAGCAACCAAACCCAGCTGCTGCCTTGGGTAAGACAAGGCCAAGCTAGACTGTGCCTGTGTTGCCAGAAGCTGCATGAAGGCCTGGCGGGATTGCTGCTTCTTCTTTGGGCTAATTCCCTCCATTCTCATCACTCAAGCAGAGCTTTGTGCTGTGCTGAGCAATCATCTAGCTTTCCTAGGTTAGATGTTTGCATGGAAAAAACAACTATCCACTCGAGTAGGCAAAGTAGTGAGTTGGATGCCATATGGTACAGTTAACATGTTTGTGAGGCCCTTGCACAGAAATCCTGCTCTCACACTTGTGACACCAACAGTTCAGCGCTGGCATAAGAGTTCAGGGTTTAAAATAAACTGCTCTTTCAGCTTATTTCCAGAAGAAGCAAGGATGTCTCAGAGGGCTGGACAAGTGAAGCTGGGTGCCAGTGTGCTTGTTGCTTGCTTGATAACCAGCTTGGTATCTAGTACTCCTGCGTGCTCTGCGGCAGGAAGGTCGAGAAAGAAAGAGCATCTCTCAGGTCAGTCAAGCTTCCCAGAGCCACAGAACATGGCCTGGTTGCCACCCAGAGCAGTGGAAAAGGACTGCTGTCAGGAAAGACTGGGTTAGATAAAGGCTCTTCACGCCGTACTACAGTGACCAAAGGAAATTGCTGAGTGGGGCATGATCCAGCAGCATCAGAAATCAACAGAAACCCCTGTCCCACTGACTCCAAGTCAGTTACCAAAAGTGGCTTCATCATTTTCAACTGTTGTTCTAATCTTCCGTGTATCACTTAAAAACATACCACTTCCAAACAGGGTATATATTAACCAATACCAGAAGAAATGTACAGCTCCTATGGAGCTGTAATCTGAACAAAGATTTCTGTATTTTTGCAGTCTTCTAGATGTATCCCTGATTTAGAATATATTATAAACCTATATATAGTATTTAGATACTTTATCACTATATAGAACTCTACAGAGGTCAGGCTCTATAAACTAATTTTGGGATTTTTAGAACAGCTAGAGTTAAAAAAGTACATATTTGCAGACTCTCTACTCCCTCCTTGATCTTCTTTATCAACTCTTTATGGTTTCCATAGGACCCACCCATCAAATCCTTTGCTACTCATGATACTGTTCAGATAGCTGCTCTTAACCCAATCTTTCTGACTGCACCTTTTTCTTAGCTTTCTTCCAGATTCTGAATATTGTCCCCCTCTACCATCTCCCACTCTCTTTCCATCCAGTCTGCCCTTGGTTGTGTATCCCCACCGCAGCCATAAGAACAGGCCATCTCTTTAAAGGACATGGCCCTTTGTGGGGAGTTTCTCACACTATCATAGACTTCTGTGCTCTGACCAGGAAGAGCTAGAGATGGTGATGGGTCTCTTCCACTTCTTCCTGTGTGACCAGCTGAACATGTAGTGGGCTGTTACACCATTCATCTCAATCAACCTGTGAGACAAAGTTGGAGAAAAACCTGAAGTGTGAACCTAGAAACCTCTCCTTTTGCTCTGCCACCAATGTAATACACTAACTGCACAAGCCTTCTGCTCAAGGGTTGTCCCCACGGTGCCTGGTGGTGGCCGTGATGTCATGGCGACGCTGTGATGTCACAGTGGGGCCATGAGGTCACAGAGCTGCATAAATACGCAAGCTGGCTCCAAGTACCGACCAGTGAGCCCTTGGCTGTGAGTGCAGCAGCCACAGCTTGGTGCGAGTGCAGGGAGTCATGGCCCTTGTGCGACAGCTGGTCCTGGTCCTCCTCCTCCTGGTGGCCCTGCCCATCAGGGCTGCCCGTGCTGCTCCATACCGAGCACGGGGAACAGGTAGGTGGGCTTCCTCTTTGTGTGTGAGACGGCTCTCCTGGTAAGAAAGCCCTGAGGGGCCGGGTGTTGATCCATCCACTCCTCGAGGGTGTTGCACGTGGCCTGGCAAGAGTGTCTGGAGAGCTAGCAGGTGCCAGCCAAGAGGTCACCAGGCCCCTCTGCAGCTTCTTGGGCAATCTCCACCTGCACCTGCCTCCCACTCAGTCCCACCTGACCCCTTCCAGTGCCTGCAGTTCACTGAGGCAGAAGTAGGTGCCGATGTGTTGTTGAAAACTTTCTCATCTCTGCTTGCTTCTAGATGAGGATGGAGGAGCTTCTCAGCTCAGTTTTGGCTTGGATCCCTTGGGGCATCCTGGAGGTAAGCTCTTAATATCCCTCAATCCCCCAGCTAAGACAGCGGGCGCAAGGAGCCTTTACCTTTGAATCCTCTTTCTGTGTGAAATGCAAGTTGCTCCTTCTGTGGCCGCCGCACCGACATGGAGAAGGGCAGAGAGGGAACGGGTTGGGCTCAGCGATGTGCCCGGGGGAGCTTTGCCTCGCAAAGATCTCTTTGTGGCCCCTTGGAGCCTGAGCGGCTCCTGGTGCTGGCTGACAAGACAGTGGGCTGGTTTGGGTTGAGTTTAAGAGCTGGCGTGAGTGCAGGGGGTCCTTTTTC